GCTACAATTGCTGTCCCTATTTGCCGGTATCATGTTTTTTGTTCATATCGCTCTTCAGGGATCCATGGGCCAGTACTTAGGTGCTCTAAAATTCCTCCACTCCTTCCAGCAAAAATCATCCACAACACAACCGATAACTCCAACCCCCCAGCCTTGCAACCCTAAACTCTCTAGAAGCCCTACAAGCCCTATAGGCCCTACACCCTAAACCCTATACAACCTACTAGTAACATGCAAGACTCGCCCTGCAGCTCTCTACGGGTGCCTAAATGCTATGGCACGCGCTGCTGCAATAGCCTCAAGAAGCAGCAAATCTGCTACATTCAACACCTCTCTGGGTTTGCATTATCATTTGCTTGGTCTTCTCGCATTACAGTTGCAGGAGACATGCAAAATAGTGCGGCCCTTATATCAGATCAAGGAGCAGGGGTTTTACCGGAGCCAAGGTGTGCTCTCTTGGCGGCTTCCGCTAGTCAGTTGCTGCAGTTCTTGCAACTGGACCTGACAGTAGTGAGTTTGGGCGGGATCCGACAACAACATGAAGGAATGTGCGATCTATGTTCACTTGAAGGTGTGTCAACAACCTGTCCCATGTGACGGGGACCTCATCCCTATGCCTGAGTTGCACTCGCGCAGAACTCGGCACCCGCGACAGAGCCTGCATCAGCTGCTGCTCGAACTCTTCAGCCACCAAAACATGAGAGGTATATAGCTGAAGCTGCCGTCTTCCAAGTTCCTGAAGAAGTGCTGGGTAGTGAGCAGGTCTCACGAAGACTTTGGCACCTGATGGCAATTCGACATCCAAGCTGGAATTGGACAGCGCATTTCGGCAGTCCTGAAGCTCTGGGGCCTGCAGCAGGGCATCCCTGAAGGCGCGGGTGCTGCGTGAGAACTTCAAGACCAGGATGGTCACTTCTTCCATGCCCGCCCTCGCATCGAACACGGTGTTCGCAGCCTGAGCATTCCCGGCAGCCACTTCCGGGGCTACGTCCGCCGGCTCGTCCCCCGTGAGAACATCGTTATGGATCTCTCCGCTGTTTTCCAACATGTCCTCCAGCTCGTGGAGGGCGTCTGCGGCCTCCAAGCCCGAACCTTCCGACAGTCCGTGATCAAAGTCGCGATTCCTAATCCGCTCCAAGTCTCGGGCCAATCTATTGCTGAGCCATACTGCTTGAAGGATGCCGCGGCGCAAGCAAAAGTCGTAGGCTGTGTACACTTGGCACCAGTGTGCCAATTTGACCGTGCGAGAAATCCGAACATGGCCCTTGTGGTTGTCATCGTAAAGCGTGTAGTCAGCTCGCTGCAGGAGCGCTTCAAACAGCTCGTGCTCCTCGAGGCCTAAAGTGGCAAAGGCCCACGCTGTGTTTGCCACATTCTGATCCTGAAAGCTTGGCATAAGCCTTAAGCCTGCTCGTGCTAGCTGATGCAGCGCCGTTTCGTTGCAGATCCGCACCTTGGCAAAGCTCCATGCAATGTTGCTGACTGCTTGAGCATCAGTGAACTCCACTGTGCCGGCAGAGAGGACTGATGCAATGGCATGGAAAAGGGATTCAGGCTTGGGGACAGTGACTGCACTGGCTCCACCAGCATCTCTGGCAGCTTTTTCAGCCTTCGCAAAAGATGAGGCAAAGGCCCAGGCTGCCGCAGACACGTGCCGCAAAGACATCTCACTCATGCATCGGCTTAGTGCCAAGCCCAAAGCATCTTGGCAAACTGTGAACAACCTCAACCCATCCGCACACTTTGCGATACCCCAAGCCGTTTGCCACAACTGAGTGCTGCCCCAAGACTCAAAGTATGCCAGCATTTCATCATGGCGCATGCTGTCAAACCGCAAGACTGCTTCATCGATGATTCTAGTGTTGGGAAGCATAGCCATGGCTCGCATCATTGTGGACCACAGGGGCCCATCTGGCCCTCCAGCTACTGCAGGTCTGCGCCCAAGAACCTCACTGCAAGCCTGAGCCAGGAGTAAGAAGCCCTCTTGGTTGACGAAGGTCGGGTGACCATGCGGATTCCAATTGCAGAATTCTGCGTCGTAGTCTGCAGACATGCAAGCTAGGCGGTAGTAGGCGGTAACTTTGTCGATGTTGTCAAAGTTGCGCAACTCCGCATCTACCAGATCCAGGATGTCCCTTGGTGTTTTGGCGCCTTGAAGACGTGTTCGGATAGGTACTTGGACCGTCATCAGGTCATCTGCGCTCTCACCATAGCGATTTCGTAAGGATCTATCTGCTCCAAGTTGAAGAAGCTCTTGCACAACGTCAGGCTGCTGTTGCCACACAGCCAAGTGCAATGGCGTGCACAAGTCGCTCTCGCGTTGCACGTTGATGTCAAAGCCGTGCTGCGTCACCAGGTGGGTTACCACCTGCAACTTCCCGCGCTTGACGAGGTCGTGCACAATTCCATGGCGATGCTTGCTGCCCGCATCTCGGTGCTCCCACAGGTCCTGCATGTCGAACATCACCGCCAAGTTCTCGTCAAAGGTTTGAATCATCTTTGGCTCGTCCCTTTCCTCAGCTGGCTACTGAACCATGGGCAAAACTTCCTTTAACTCCATACTGCTATCAACAAACCTTTGTGGCAGAGTCTCTATCTGCTGCGGTGGGCCTGACTACATGCTTCTGGCATTATTGGATTCGTTTGTGGCCACGAATCCCTACCCCCTAATATTAAACGGGGCCTGCCCCCAATAGATACTCGGAAAGTGTTTTGTTTATTGCTAGGCGTATTGGGGGGTCTTTTTATCTCTACCGTCAGATTTGGGTACGACTGCGGCCAGTCCGCACAGGCAGGCTCAGAGAGGACCTGAAACCTGACTTAGTCGACACAGACAGACAGGCCGTCAGGCCTGCAGATTTAGGAAAGTGTGAGGCAGGCTTCGGACAGCCACGCTAACAGACCGAGCTGCAGACAGGCGCAGTTGAGAAAAGACCGACAGCTGGCAACCAGGGAGGCTCACCCTGAACCCTCAACCTTTGCCCTAACCCCCCTTAATTCAGAATGGGTTTCAAAGGGCAGGGGTGATTTCGGCAGGATTGGCTCGAATGTGTTTTTATTGTTAGGGGGGTGTTTAGTAAAAGGGGGCAGCGATTTCTTGGGCCGTTGCGTGCGGGCGGCCCTTGTTTTGTAGTGTGTATATCTGGAGGTTGTTCCTCTGAAGTATCAGCCAAATGGCTTTCCATGATAGGAAAGGGGTCTCTGGACAGCTTGCAACAAACAAGTTTAAAGTTTTGCCGTTTGTCAACGAAGTTTCTTTCAGCCAAGACAGAACCGCACGCCCGGCACGTTGGGACGTCATCGGAGGAGGATGAGAGTAAAGCTCAGGCTGAACTGCTTCACACAACCAGACTTGAACCAAAACTCCTTCCGAAGTCCTTTCAAGCGAACAGCACGTCACAGAAGCTAAGGGTTCAGGGTGCAGAGTGTAGGGTTTAGGCGTCATAAGGTTTATAATATTTAGGTTTTAGGGTTTGGGGCTTCGATTTCAGGGCACTTCTTCGGTGCTATGAGCCCTATAGACCGAACATCGGGAGTCCAGGCGCACTGCGCCAGGAGCGTTGCCGTGACCGAAGATGTGCAAGAGACTGCTTGACTCTTAACCCTAAACTGCTTGGGGCCTTAGTCTGAGGGTCTAAGGTTCAGGGTTTAGGTTTCGGGCCTGCAGAACCATAAAACCTATATAATCCCCAAACCCTAAACCCGAAAAAGCCGGGCATTGCCTAGGGCAACAGGTTTAAGGTTTTGGGATTCGGCCGCACAGCAGCTGTAGTTGCAATGCAGAAATGGCCTGTGCCGATCACATGCTCTACTGCGGCAATGAACTTCTCAACACTAGAGGATCAAGTCTGCTAGGTAGCAAGCTGTAGGGCGTTAGGGTCAAAGTCTCTGCCCTGTGCATGATGCAAACCCTTGCGCTTGTTGCTGCCATTCGTCTCTAGGCCTTCCTCAAACCTCAGGCCGAACAGGCCCAAACCTTTAAATGACCACAAAAAAGCCTAAACCGTGAAGCCCAAAGGCCGCAAAGGCCCAATTGAGGTGGCCCTACATCCAATAGAACTCTAGCATCAGGACTTCTAGAATCCCGTCTAAGCCCCGAGATTGGAGGCCAAAGCCCGTATGAACCAGCCTGAATCCCTTACCGCTACACCCACGCCCTTCATCCTAAGCCACGACACTCGCAACACCTAGACCCGAACCCTAAGCCCCAAACCCGTAAAAAGCAACCTGAAGCCCGATCTCGGGACTTAAACCCGGGCCGCTGGTTTAAGGAGGAAGCGCCCGGAAGGCTCTCGAGCCACCTCTGCAGCTTTAGGGGTTTTGTTTCCTCCTTCTTAGCAAGGACAAGCCCGCGTTGCAGGGTATTAGGTTGGGGTTTTTGGCTCCCACATGGCAGCTTCGGAGCAATCCGCTTGGCAGCTGTGACTAGGTGGGGTTTGGGGTTTAGGGTGTTAGGTGGAGTTTGGGGTTTAGGGTTTACGGGGCTTTGATTTAGTTGAGGGCCTCTTTCTGCACCACTACAGCTTCTCTGAGGCAGGGAAAGGCACGGCTACCTTGTGAGCCCAACTTTTCCACTCTCACACTCGCACGAAGTGGCAAGGCTCCACATAGTTCAAACTCACTCCAGCAATAACTGAGAAGATGCAACAAAGACCAGAACCCAACCTGCTAAGACCGCGAGCCACCAGAAAGGCAGCCAAACTTACTGGTCACCAAGAGACATTGCTCAGCTGATTCAAAACACTACACCGGCCAGTAGTCTAACCAACAAGCGCACAGCAATAGCTCCAGCACGCAAAATTTTTAAAAAATGGCCCACCTTTAGGCTTCCTCAATCAACCCTAAGCCCACAGTGCTCTCTGTCTCTCTCTCTCTCTCTCGCTTTTTCTTCTGGAACCCAAAGAAACCCCAAATATGCGTCGAAAGCCAAGCCGGAAACCAAAAAGAAAACTCGAGATGCTAAAACAATCCTTTGCACTTTCCCCCGTCAGTTGAGATACTGCCCGCGCGACGCGCCGAAGAGTGCCAAAGCGAGCAGCACCATCAGCAGCCCTGGATACTCGGATGTCTTCAGGTTTCTTGGCTTCCTTTAAGAAATTGTATACTGGTTTCGGGTTTGGGGGATTCCACGGCGCTCAACGCCGTCGAGTTTTGACCGTCGAGATCTAGGGTTTTAGGGTTTGTGGGGCTCAGTATTTCCGGCTTTAGGTTTCGGTATTTGGGCTCTACAGGTTAGATGTTTAGGCGTCCATGTGTCCATTCCCAAACCTTCCGATCTCAATGCGCAATGCGTACGTCCAGGGAATACCCCTCACAAAACCCGCAACAGAACAGTACCAGTACCCCAGAATCTCGTGACTCCGCCTCCGCAAAATGCCAAAGGGGGAAGAACGGGGCGCCCTTTCAGGCCAATACTCACTTCGCATAAGAGCCCAAGATATATGTATGTATGTATATATATATACAGGTTTCCTACCCTTGGCTACAAACCCTGGAGATCAAGACTTCTGACGCCTGGCCAGCGCAAGTTCTGGGCAGTAGCAGGAACGGAACTGCGTGGGAGCCCACACAGCCGGAGAAACCTCGCAATGTCAGAACCGGGAAAAAAGGATTTCATCTCATCTTTCTAGAAGAACCCCTTATAGTTTCGGATTTAAGGTGTAGGCTAGAATCTAGAAGCCTCTAACTTCCTGATCCAGAAGTACTGATCCATCACAATCATCTATTGCGAGTGAAAGAAAATGGTCCCGCCACGAGACAGCACCTGCAGCGCAACCCCGCGCGCATGGTGGACCCACCAGGCACCAACATTCGGCGACGTGCTGTTGAAGCCGAAAGCAACGATCGCCGCGACCGTAGCCAGCATAGCCCCGTGCGGCAGGCAAAGTACAGACGTCGTCAGCGTGAAGGCCTGGAGTGGAAGAGGCTCATAGCATCAGGGCTGAGCAGTTGAACCCTGAACTGGCCCAGTCTAGACCCCAAAGCCGCGTGCCTGAATCTCCAACTGGAAGTTCCAAAGGTTCACGCATGGGTTGCCATTACCTGACATCCGAATTTAGAGTGTTTCTGTGGGGGCTTAGGGGCTTCAAGCTTTGAGCTGTTTTCGTGAACACCCGTAGAGCACAAGATCATGATGTCCCTGCATTAACGAGCTGCGCCCAACGGGGCGTCGTTGTTGAAGGTTTGGGTTCCTTTCCTCCTGCCTAGCAATTAAAGCTTAAGGGTTGTTTAGCTTGGTGCGATTCTCGATTTTTGTCATTCTTTCGCAGGGGCCGTGCTGTTGAGGGTTTAGGGCATCGGCCGTTGACGCAGTAGAGACAGCATGTATACTCGAAGGGGTTGGGATCATGGGGTGGGGCTTAGAGTCATGGCTGCAGGGACATTTCACGCCTGCTCGAGGCTTTAGGCAAAACTTCAAGACTTTAGACTCTTTAGAAACACCTTGGACAAAAAAGCAATTCCTTACCGGTCCTGGGGTCCATACTGAATCATAAACATGATAAGCAACTCCCACGGTCCTAATAAGAAGGGGACTCCAGTTTGCCGATTGTAGTGCTTGTTTTGGAGTGATATCGGCAGAAAACACAGATACGTCTGTGCAAAACTGTCAGCAAATCGACCTACACCCTAACTAAACCCTGCATTCCCTAAACCTAAGCACACTCTGAGAACTCAGGCCATAGTCGCAAGAGCATGAAGAAATCCAGCACTGAGACTTCATGCTTACAGCTGCAAGCCTAGACCGTAGGATTCATTCCGAATTCCGGGAATGAACCTGAACCTTCAGCTGACGGATCCCAATAGATGCCTCATCAGAACCCCGTACATAACATCACTGCCAAACTGGTCGGGCTTCCATTCCGCCAGTCTTCATCAAAGTCCTGGAAGATCAGAGCGCCCACGTCACCCAGCAGGAAGGAGTACCGCCACTTCCGCTGCATGCATTTGCCGGTAGCATGGTACCTCAGATATCGTTATCCCGTATAAACCCTATGGTCTATAGAGCTCTTATAAACCAGTTCGTCGTAAAACGACTTCTCCCGCAGGCGATTCACTCCATTAGGGTCTTAGGGTTTAAGGGTTTGTGGATTTCATGGTTTTTGGTTTTAAATAGGATTCAGAAGCAGCTTCAAGAACAGAAAGGCCATGCTCTGAATCATGTGGAGTGGTGCCAGCGTATCCCAAACCACGGAAAGGCGTGGTTGTAGGGGTTGTACACCACCTGCTGCTCGCAACAGTCCGACCAACTTTCACGTATGTTTGTATAAATATGCCTGCCCCATACACTGCCTACAAGTAGGCCCTAAACAGGCACATACGTGCTTGAATTACCCCGGGCATATACACCCTCATCTGTGTATATACACATATACTTCTACATACATACATATATATGTATATATGTGTGTATATATGTGTATATATACATGTAGATTTAACTATTTACATATACATGTATACATATATATATATATACATACATACATATATATATACATATACATATACACATATACACACATACA